TTTGGACATACGGCAGCAGCGCTCGTCACCATCTATAACCCCTCTCACAAGACCGCATCAGCAACGGTGTGCTTTTGTGTGACCTGCCAATGTAGCACACACACACACACACACACACACACACACACACACACGCACGCACGCACGCACGCACGCACGTCAGCACTGCCGACGGCAATGGGCAGAATGTCCTTTCCAGCGGCAGCGGCGCAGTCGTCAACCTTGACGGAGGTGTCAAAGCCCTTGACACCACACAGGAGCACAGGCACGCTCGCCTTGATCTCCGTGGTCACCACATGCTGCAGATCGGCCTCCGACGAGGAGCTGGCAAAGCCCTTGCCCAGAATGTGCTCCACAAACACGTGCATGTGCGCCAGCAAGCGGTCTGGTCGTGCGGCCTGCAGGAACAGCAGCTCCCGCAGCAGCCGGTACGGCACAGACTGCGGCGCGTCGCTGTGCAGCGCAGACACAAACTTGGGCAGCTCAAGCTCCGGCCGCGCCAGCGCTATCCAGTGCGCAAACTCACCCTGGTGGCCCTTGATCTCCGCCAGGAGGTCTCCAAACGCCGGCACGTTGTCGCGCAGCTGGTGCAGCGCGTTGGCCTGCTCCTCCGTGGCCGCGCTCGGCACCAGGAAGGCAAAGTCGGACTTGCCCAGCAGCACGCCGCCGCCAGAGAGGAAGTAGCGCAGGTCCTTCTCCGGCAGCTGGTCGTCCGTGCCCTCCACGCGGAAGCGCGCAAACGTCAGTGCAAGTGGCAGGCGGTGCTCGTGCATCATGCCTGGTGCAACGCGCTCGTACACAAACTGGAACAGGCTGTCATTGATCACGCGCAGCCGCTCGTCGTGGTCTGTCAGGCCCTCCAGCCGCGGGTTCGCCTGCAGCGTCTCCAGGAAAATGTCCAGGAAGAAGCGCAGCGAGTACTGGTAGAGAAAGTGCATGTGCGCCATCTGCTGCAACGTGAAGTAAATGGAGCTGCAGCGCTGCGCCAGCGGCTGGTACATGCGGCTCGTCTTCTCCACCGTCGCCATCACCGTGTCTGTCTCGTCCACCTTGGCCTGCACCTCCATGGCGCGGTTCTTCAGCTTCTCCAGGTGCGTGATGACCTTGTCGTCGTCCAGGATGCTGCCCTCCGCCTTGTTCAGCGCGTCCAACAGCTGGTTCTCCAGGTTGAGCAGCTCCAGCCTAAACTCGCCCTGCTGCCGCAGCAGGTCTGTGCGCTGCTCGTCAACGTCCGGCCGCTCGTACCGCAGCGCCTGGTTCAGGCACTGCGTCTGCAGCGACCCGGGCGTGACGGTGAAGTTGATGAGCGTGACGCGGCTGCAAATGTCCATGGGGAACTGCACCGCCGGGTTCTTCGTGATGAGCTTCATGGAGAAGGTGGGCGAGAGGTCAATGTCCTTGCCAGCCAGGTTGATCATGATGCGGCCGCCCTTGCGCTGCACGTCGTTGGTCAGGATCGGGTTCAGCAGCGCATCAAACTTCTCCGCGTCCTGGATCAGCAGGTCCGTGCCAAACCGGATGGCGCTCTCCACGTCCTTGCGCAGCTTCACGGGGTCCAGGAACGACGTCACCACCATCTTGTTGTCCGCGTTGTACTCGCGCATGATAAACTCAGCCGCCTGCCCCGCCGGGTCAATCACCAGCGGCGTGCGGATGCTGCGGCTCAGCATCACCGCGTTCTGCGAACACAGCTCGTCCTCCGGCAGCGCGTTTGTCTTCCAGCGCAGCCGGTCGTCCGGGGAGGACAGGTACTCCGGGATGCCGTCCTCGACCCCCGGCTTGAACTCGATGCGCGCCTTGGACAGGTGCGTGATCCAACGCGCGAGGAGGGCGCTGCGGTAGCTCTGGTCAAAATAGCCCGCGTATCCAACAAACGCCGCGCTGATGAGGCAGTCGCCGATGATGGTGGACATTTGTGCGTCAAAGTCGGCGGCGCTCGTCGTCCAGCGGTCCTTCTCGCTGGCCAGGTTCTCCAGCAGCTTCTCGCTGCGCGACACCTTGTCCGACACCGTGGTGAGGTCGTTCTTGATGGCCTCCTGCTCGCTGATGAGGACGGCGTACTCCGCCTCGTACGTCTTGATGGTCTCCTCGAGCTCCGCCACCAGCACCTGCAGCGCGTCCTGCTGCTCCCGCATGGCCATCGACTCCTCCTCCAGCTGCCGCAGCTCGTTGTTGAGCGGCTCCACCTTCAGCAGCTGCTTTGCGTACGCCATCTGCGCGTTGGCCCACTTGACCAGCGGGCCTGCGGCCTTGCTGGCGCGGTTGGCCTTCTCAAACGTAAACAGCTCGTTGGTCAGGTACGAGCTCTCCATCTTGCCCATAATCTTGCTGGTGATGGAGTTGGAGTCAAAGTTCATCACGTCCGAGGTGAAGTGGTCCTGGGCGATGATGCTGCGGATCTTCTTCCAGTCGGTCGTGTGCTTGCCCAGCAGCGTCACCACGCCCTCCAGCGCCACCTGCACCGCCTGCGGCGGCTTGGCCAGCGTGCGAATCTCCTGCAGGTCGCGCTTCTTGATGCCCTTGACGGCCGCCTTGGCTTCCTCAACAGCGGGCGCAACCGCCGCCAGCTCGGCCTCCACCTCGGCCTTGCGCGCGTCCGCCTGCTCCTGCTTCGCCTGCAGCTCCTTGTCGATGTTCAGCGACTCCTCGCGCTTGGCGTTGGCCGCCTGCTTCTTGCTCAGCATCAGGTCCAGCTTCTCCTTGGCCGCCTTGGACTTGGCCTCCAGCTGCTGCTTCTTCTCCGCCAGCGTCACCTGCAGCTCCGCGACCGTGTCCCGCGTCTCGTCAATCTTCGTCACGCCGTTCAGCAGGTGGCTCTTCTGCGCCTCCAGGTCCTTGCGCTTCTCCGTGTGGAAGCGCGACAGCTGCGCCACAAACTCCAGGAAGTGGCGCGGCGTGATGTCCGTGGAGCGGCCCTCCTGCTTCAGCAGCTGCCGCGCAGCCGCCTTGGCCGTCTTGTGCACAAACACGGCCGCGTTGTGCACGGCGTCCGCGTGCGACGGCGTGGCGTCCTGCAGGGCGTCCACCACCACGGGGAAGTCCATGGGCGGCTCGTACTCCGGCTTGGCGAGCGGCACCTGCGCGGAGAGCTCGGCCGCCACGCGGAACAGCGCAGAGTCGGGCCAGTCGCCAAACCAGTCCAGCACGCAGCGGTTGAAGAGGGCGGGCGAGGTGGTCGCCCGGTCCTGCATGCCGCCTTCCGCCGGGCACATGGTAAACACAATGTGCAGGTTGTCCATGACGTTCTGGGAGAACCAGCGGTAGAGCTCCTCGTTGTCGTCCAAGTGCAGGTTCTGCCGGCGCGACGCCTCCTTGCACTTGGTCATGAGGGCGGAAAAGTCGTCCCCTTCAAACAGGCCCGGCACCTCGCCGTTGGCCAGCAGCGTGTTCATGCGCTCCAGGAACGCCGTGTCGGTGATGTTCGACTCGTCCAGGATGAACACAATCTTCTCGCCCTCCACACCGGAGCGCTTGAGCAGCTCGCGCAGGTCCGCATCAAAGTCGTCGGGCGTGTACAGGTTGTGCGACTTGATCTGCACCACGGTGAGCTGGTTCATCCATGCCACAAAGCGGGACAGCGTTGTGCGGCCGCACCCGCTCACGCCAATGAGCAGCATGTGGCCCTGGTTCTGGCGGAACACGCGGTCGATGCGCAGCACGTGGTCCAGCACCTCGTCAAACAGCACCAGGTTCAGGTCCACCTGCTCCTCCGTAAACGACTTGAGCTTCTCCCGCACAAACTCGCGCAGGTCCTCCTGATCCACGGGGCCGTACTCGTGCGTGAGCCAGTCGCTGAACAGGATGGGCCGCTGCAGCGCCGCCCGCATGTCGATGCCGGGGAAGTGCTCCTTGGCCACGTCGTCCACCTTCTCGTCCGTCCACTGCCGCTCGTCGTCGCCGACCAGGCGGTCCTGGAACAGCCGCAGCGCCTCGTGCGCCCACACGCGCACCAGCCCGTTCAGGTCCAGCGGGGTGCCGCTGCGGGCGAGCGGGGTGATGGCCTCCGCCACGCCCTTCACCCAGCGCGTCATCTCGCGCGGGGAGTAGATGTAGTGCGGCTGCACGTCCGCCGTGAACCGCCGCTGCGACTGCGAGTAGAAGGACACCATGGCGTCCGTCAGGTTGTCCGCGTAGCGCTCGAGCGACGGGTGCATGCGCAGGATGGCGCGGTTGAACGTGCCGTAAATCTGGCGCAGGGACTCCGCGCCGGGGTAGTCCACGTACACCACGGGCACGTGGCGCAGAAAGCGGTGGGCGAGCGGCACGCGGCCAGGGTCCGTCGGCGGGTTGCACGCGCCAACAAACTGGATGCGCTCCAGCTTGACCCAGCGCCGGTCCTCCGTGCGCCAGAACCCGCCGTGCTCCACCAGCTGGCGGATGAACGTGATCACGCGCACCGTGTTGTACTTGTCGGGTGCGGGCAGGTTGCACTCGTCCATGAAGATGACCAGCCACTTGTTGAGCTGCGCGGGCGCGAGCACCAGGCCGTTGGGCGTTGTGCGGTACTCGCAGTACTGGTCAAACGTCTTCATAATCAGCTCGGGCGTCGTGCTGCTGCTGAAGTTGAGGCCGGCCACCTCAAAGTGCGGCAGTGCGCGCAGGGCGCTGAACAGCGTCATGGTCTTGCCGGAGCCCGGCGGGCCACAAAGCACAATGGGCAGGTGCTCGCTCAGCCACGTGTACAGCAGGTCCTCGTGGCGCACCGTATCCAGGGTGGGCACGACGACGCTGGTGCCGGACACCTTCTCCGCCTCAATCTCGATGCGCGGGACGTCGTGGGTCCACGGCTGCCACTGCGCGTCCGGCAGGGTGACCTTGAAGTCGATGATGGCGCCCTGCTCCACGGGCGGCAGCTCCACGGTGGTGCTCTCCGTCAGGAAGCGGCTCAGCTCCGTGCGCACGTCCCCGCGCGAGTCGCCGACGAGGCACCACATGAGCGAGTACATGAAGCGCTTGCTCGTGTACTCCTTCACCTGGTCCTCCGTGAGCTGGAAGTCCGGGTGTGTGGCGTTGTACTCCGTGATGGAGCGCGCCGTCTGGTTGAGCATGCTGAAGAGTGCGTTGATGCAGCGGCCGTCCGTGTAGTCCATCACGTGGAACAGCGACCTGGCGTACTGCAGGGAGCGCGTGACCAGGCCGTCCTCCTCAAAGAAGGGCTCCAGCGTGTCGGCCACCTTGCGCTGCGCAGCCAGGCCCTCGGCCTTGTCTGCCTGCGTCTGGCTCATGTCGCTGTCCACGGGCACGTTGCGCAGGAGCCGCAGGAAGCGCTTGTAGTGCACCTGCAGCGTGAGCACGTCCTCGCTGAACCAGATCATGCCGCAGCGCGAGACGGTGGCCAGCGTGGCGTTCTTCAGGTCCTGCACCTCAAACAGGATGCGGATGTTGCTGGGCAGGTTGAGCCGCTCGCCGTTGGGCAGCGTCAGCAGCTTGTTGTCGTCCAGCACGCTGTTCAGGTTCTCCACCCACTCCGGGTCCACGTCGCCGTCAAAGATGATCCACTGGCGCCGATTGCGCTCGCCACGCACGTCGTCAATCACCTTGCGCACGATGGAGGTGAACAGGCCGTCTGTCCACTCGCGCGTGGTCGGGTCGAGGAAGCCGTACAGCTCCTCCTTGGTGATGGCCTTGGGGTCAATCACGTACTCCTCGGCCTCCCTCTGCTCCAGGCGCCGCAGGGCCTCCAGCAGCACGCGCCAGGCAACCGACTTGCCGACGCCAGAGGGGCCGACCAGCATCAGCCCGTGGTTGAGCTGCGTCACCTGGTACACCTGCAGCACCTTGTTGAGCCACGTCTTCGAGGGCACGTAGTGCTGCTCCTCGCACACCTCCAGGATCTTGGCCTCCAGTTCGGCCAGCGGAATTTCGGGCCGCTGCACCCCGGGGAACACGTCGGTCAGCAGGCTGTCCAGCAAGGGGATGTCCTGGGCCACCAGCTTGGGGATCATGGTCTGGGTGATGCTCTGAATTACCACCTCCTGCTCGTCAATGGCGGAGGCCACTTCCTCCTCATCCACGCTGCCGCGCTCCTCCCGCATCTTCTGGCGCAGCGCGGCCAGGCGCTCGCGCTTGATGTTGCCCGCGCTGACGAGCACGGCCTTGAGGGAGCGCAGGCCAAAGTCGTAGTGCGACTGCGCGGAGAGCTGCTCCTGGCACAGGATGAACAGGGGTACGACCTTGCGCGAGAGCTGCTCCGCGGTGCGGAACCCCTGCGAGAAGAGCATAACCTGGGCAATCAGCTGCCTGTCCGGCTTGGTCATGGCCAGGTTGCGGAAGAGCTTCTTGAGGTTGTCCGGTAGCGGGGAGCGGCCCGCGTAGCCCGGGTTCATGGTGATGAAGATGGCCATGCTCGGGTTCACGGACACGGTGCGGCCTTGAAGCGACACGGTCATGGCCTGGCGGGCGGCCTCGCCCTCCAGCATGCCGCCGGCCTTGATGGCCAGCTGGATGCTCTCAATCTGCTGCGACACCGCCGAGAGCATGCTCTCCTCCAGGCGGTTGAACTCGTCAAAGCAGCCCCACGCGCCCACCTGGCACAGGCCCACGAAGATGCGGCCCATGGCGTGGTTGTCAAACGTCTCGTCGCAGTTGAACACCAGCACGAAGCGGCCCAGCTGCGCGCCAAGCGCCTTGACAGACTCCGTCTTGCCCGTGCCTGCGGGGCCAAAGGGGCTGCCGCCCTGCCGGGCAGCGAGGGCCTGTGTCATGGTGAGGAAGCAGCGGTCCGTGAGCGGCGTCTGCACAAGCTTGTCCACGAGCCCCAGGTACTCAAACCCGTAGAAGAGGCTCACGTCCGCCATCTTGATGGACAGCTGCTGCAGCACGTCCGTGTTGTACGCGTCAAACTCAAAGCGCATGTTCTGCAACCACCTAAAGTCGGTGACGGCCGCCACGCGCTCGTCAATGAGGCCGCGGGTGAGGTCGCGCTTGTGCACGAGCTCCGTGATCATCTGCTCCAGCTTCTTGCGGCGGATGGGCGGCTGGTGCTGCAGCACCGTGTCGGCCAGGGCGTTGAGGGTGGTGATGACGGCGTCCAGTTGCTCCTTCAAGCCCTGCTTGCCGCCGCCCGAGACGAGCGCCTGCTGCACGCTCTCGGACCACGCCACCTGCGCGCTGAGCACGACAATCTGCGCCTGGAAGGCGTCGAGCCACTTGAGGTAGGAGGAGAGCTCAAAGGAGGTGGCCAGGTGCTTGATCTGCGTGGTGGAGCGGTTGAGCAGCGAGGCCAGCGCCACCTTCATCTCCTCCTCCAGCGCGGTGAGCCAGGCGTTGATCTTCCTGTCCTTCACCTGCACGTTGTTGGTGAAGGGGACCACCTCGCCCTCGCGCGAGAGCAGCGCCTTTGCGGCGTCGCCCTGCTCCGTCAGCTCGACGCTGTTCAGGCCCGCGAACATCTTGCGGAAGTGCTTCTGGATGCGGTCCACGTTCTTGCCGTTGCCGATAATGTCAAGCAGGTCCTCGTCGCCCACAAAGTAGAAGCGCGGGAACGACGCGCGCTCCTGCTCCAGGTACTTGCTCAGCGCCTTCTGGATCTTGTCCAGGACGTCCTTGAAGTGGTGCAGCGTGCGCTCGAGGTTGGGGATGTTGAGCACCTCCAGCACCATCGGGTTCTTGGACACCTTGCGCATCAGCGCCACAAACTCGTTGCTCAGGCCCATAAACTTGTTTGTCTCCGTGGGCAGGAGGACCTTGAGGTCAGCGCTGCCGGTGAAGATGCCCTCCAGGTACACCCACTGGCGCTGCACGTCGATCCACACGTCGTAGAAGAGGGTGTACAGGGTGTTGAGGCGGTTTTCCCAGGCCAGGGCCTCCTCCTCAAACACCTTGTAGTAAGGGGACAGCTTCATCTGCGCCAGGTTGTTGATGTGGTCCTTGGCCAGCGTGAAGAGGTCGTCCCAGCCCTTGATGAGCTTGGTTTTGTTCTGGTAGTTGACCATCTCCAGCTCGTACGCCTGCCAGGCCTCCTTGATCTGCTTCAGGAACACCTCCAGCGCCTTCTCGCCCTGCGCCTGCAGCACGACGCGGTTGATGGCCTCTGCGTTGCGCTCCAGGTCCACCGCCCACACCTGGCCCAGCGTGAGCGTGACCATGTCCCACGACACGCCCAGCTCCGAGGTGAGCATCTTCCAGTGGCGGCTGGTGAGCGTGTCGCCGCGCAGCACGCTGATGGTCTCGTTGACCTTGATGTAGGAGCGCGCCTGCTGCAGCAGGTACTCGTAGGCCTCGTACGACTTGACGCGCGCGGGCATGCGCTTGAGCTCGTCCACGATGCCGTTGAGCTGGCTGCGCAGCTTGGTGGGCACGACGGCGCCCCACTCCGTGGCCTTGAGGTCGGACATGTGCTCCACGACGCGCGACAGGTCGTGCCAGGAGCCCTTGAGCTCCATCAGCTCCTCCATGCGCGAGGGCAGCCGCGTGTCCTCCTTGATGTCCAGGTCGAGCGCCGTCTTGGCGCGCACCAGGTTCTCGTACTCGTCCCTGAGGCGGGTGAACCTGCCCTGGAAGATGTTGAGCACGTTGACGGCCTCGGCCGGGTTGACGTCGCCGCCCATGGGCTTGTTCTTGTCCCAGTCCGCCACCAGCTCCGCAATCTGCGCCTCAATCTGCCGCTCCTCGGAGACGACGCGCATCTGCAGGCTGGTCACCTGGCCCGCAATGGCCGTGTGCCTGCGCTCCAGGATGCTCAGGAACGCCTCCCACTCGCCCTCGAGCTGCTGCACGCGCAGCCAGTCGCTGGGGAAGGGGAACCGCTGCCGCTCCAGCAGCTTCTCGCCAGAGACGAAGCACTCAAACTGGGCGGTGAGCGGCTTGACGCGCTTCTTGGCGCCCTGGATGACGCCAATGTAGGTGATGCTGTCGGATGTCTTGGCAGCCTCCAGCGACATGGCCTCCAGCTTCTCCCGCAGGCCGTGCACCTCGTTGTAGAAGCGGGACATGTGGTCGGCCATGGACGTGGCAAAGTGGCCGATAATCTCGCGGTGGATGGCGTCGTACTTCATGGCCACGCGCGTCTGCACCTGGCTGTACTCAATGTCCACCGCCGCCAGCGCCTTGCTCGTCTCGGACGTGTCAAAGTGGCGGCGCGCGCGCTTGATCTCCGTGAGCAGCTGCTGCCACGCCATGAGGTCGTCACCGAGGGAGGCAAACACGTTCTCCATCTGCAGGTCCCACAGCGACTGGTACTGCAGCCACTCGCCCACGTACGCGTCAACCTTGCCCGTCTCCACGTCAATCAGCCGGTGCGCCTGCACCAGGTCGGCGCCGTCGTTGGGCAGCTTGGCCAGCAGATTGCCGTACTTGGCCACAGACTTGGTGGCGTTGGCCGTGTCAAGCGGGTCCGTGTGCAGGCGGGCGAGGCTGGTGACCACGGACAGGTGCACCTGCAGCTGCTGCACCAAAGCCTGGCGTGCGCTCTCCACCGGTGGGGTGAGCATGATCACCTGGTTGCGAATCTGCAGCTCGTGCTTGGCGCGTGCAATCTCGGGCAGGTCCTCGTCGTCCTCCACGTCCGCGTCCCAGCTCTCCGCTGCACGAGAGGCGTGGGCGAGCGCCTTGGTCCACGCTACGAGCGCGTGGTGCAGGCGTGCCGCGAGCTTCTGCTCCACCTGCGCATTCAGGTCATCACACCACTGCTGCAGGTTGACGTACTTCTCGGCCTTCATCTTGTTCAACACGTCCTGCCCACGCTTGATCAAATCCTGCAAGGTGAAGAAAACGGGGGGGAGGGGATGTTGAGTGAGGTGAAGGAAGAAAGAGTGTTGAAACAGGAGAAGAAGGAGATGCGAGGGAGTGTGGAGTGTGTGTGTTGTTGTTGTTGAGAGGCAGGGAAAACGCATGAACCAAACACGTGCACACATGCACAACACAGGCACGCACAAAACCAAACACGCAAACACAAACACACAACCCCAAACACATCAACACACATAAGCACACAACCCCAAACACATCAACACACATAAGCACACAACCCCAAACACATCAACACACATAAGCACACAACCCCAAACACAATTAGCACACCAACACGGGAGCGGAACGCACTTGGAATTTCTTGTTGCTGTAGTCGCAGGTGGTGAGGGAGGTGAGCATCTTCTTGATGCGGTCGTCATAGCCAAAGAGCGCCTGCACGCGGCGGTGCAGCTCGGTGACGTTTCGTGAGAGCTCGTACGCATACGCCTCCAAGGGGCTCTCCCAGGTGAGGTCCATGCCGTAGGCAATCTGGTCGTGCACGCGGTTGTACCAGCGCGCAACGAGCGGGGTGAGGTGCGGCCTGTCGTCCAGCTGGTTCATGGCGATGGAGTACGTCTTGATGCTGTTCTTGAGGGAGATGACATACGGGTACAGCATGTTGGCCTTCTTGGCCTTGACGACGGCGAGCTTGGGCACGCGGGGCACGTTCTTGAGCCAGCCCATGATGCGCACCTCCTTGGCCATGGTGATGAGGCGCTCGTGGAAGTTGACAAACATCTCCAGGCGCGTCTTCTCGCCGCGGAACAGCTCAATGTCGAAGATGGTGTTCTTGAACGTGATGTCCTGCGTCTCAATCTCCTGCAGCCAGAGGTCGTACGGGTTGGCCTGGCGCAGCTTCTCCTTGAACGTCTCGCCGCGCTCCTTCAGCTCGCGCCCGTCCACGTGCTTCATCCAGTTGGGCCCGAGCACGTGCCCGACGCGCTCCAGGTAGTCGTCGAGCTGCCGCTCAATCTGCGCCATCCAGATGATCTGCCCAGAGGTGGGCGGGATGTCGCGGGCCGCGCTCATGTGGCTGTTGTTGCTGTTGTGGTACTGCATCTTGAACTTCTTGTGCAGCTCGATAATGTCGTCCTTGACGTTGGACATGAGCTGCTTCTGGTACGAGCGCACGGCGTTGCGGATGCGCGGGCGGTCCAGCAGCGCGTAGTAGTGGCGGAAGATGCGGAACATGTCCGACGACTTGGCTGCATGGTCAAGCTCGTGGCACAGGTGCTTGATGATGGTGTCCTCCACCTGGTTCACGCGCGCCTCATAGCTCTCGCAGGCGCGGTCCCACGCCCGCTGGCCCTCCTCCTCCAGGTCAAGCACGTCCACGCTGCGCATCTCGTCGTACGCGTTCTCCACCTCGGCCAGCGCGTTGTCCTCGTCCGCGTCGGGCTCAATCCCGCGCTGCTTCAGCACCACGGAGATGCGCTGTTTGAGGTCGTCATGGCGCAGCCGAAAGTCGTGCACGAGGGCAAGCCGCTCCTGCAGGGCCTTGTGCTCGGGGACCACACGCCGAGCAGTGGCCCGCCCGCCGCGCTGGGTGCTGCGCAGCTCCTGGATGATGGTGCGGAAGTCGGACTTGTCGTTCCACTCGCGGAAGAGCTGGTTGCACTGGTTGTACAGGTTCTCAAACTCGGGGATGGGCATGTGCATGAGCTTCTTCTTGGAGAGGATCTTGAGCAGCTGGCTGTTGACGTCGCGGGAGATGGCCTTGATGAGCTCAATAAACCGCTCGCGCGGGTACCGCGTGTGCTTCACCTTCTTCATGTGCTGGAACACCTCCAGCATGGCCTCCACAAGCTTCTTGATGTCCGTGGCAATGAGGATGGCGTTGATCGGGAAGTCCTTCATCAGCGTGTTGTAGTCCAGCACGGTGTCGTACATGGACAGGTTGGTGTCTGTCTCAAAGCTCTTGAGGATGGTCAGTCGCTTGGCCTCCCGCAGCACTGCCAGCGTCAGCGTCACGTCGTCCTCGGCCAGCCGCACCTTTAGCTGCGACAGTGCGCGCTCCATCGACAGCCAGAACCTGCGTGTGTGTGTGTGTGTGTGTGTGTGTGTGTGTGTGTGTGTGTGTGTGTGTGTGTGTGTGTGGCGTGCGTGTGTGTCATGTGTGTGTGTCATGCACGTGTCATGCACGAGCCATGCGCGTGAGAGCAACTTACAAGCGTCAACAAGGGCCATGCAGAGCTTGTAGTACATGCCGGCCTCGTAAGGAGTGTGCTCAATCTGCACCGCACGACACGATTGGAATGTGTTTGTTTTGGAGGGAGGGAGGAGCAGCAACCGTCGTGGGAAACATCATGCATGAGGCACCATGCGGTGTGTTGACGCACACACATGCGTAGCAGCAGCAACAGCAGCAGTAGCACCAGGGCATGTGGGGGACAGACAAGCACGCACACACAAGCACAGACAGACATACACACCCACACCCACACATACCCACACATACACACACACACACACATGCAAACACACACACGCCCGCACACATCAAATACACAAGCAACACACGCCATAGCAGCACATACGTCATTCACATCGAAACATGTAGCGGGGGGAAGCACACCGCATTCTTCGGGGATGGGCATGTGCATGAGCTTCTCTGGAGAGGATCTTGAGCAGCTGCTGTTGACGTCGCGGGAGATGGCCTTGATGAGCTCAATAAACCGCTCGCGCGGGTACCGCGTGTGCTTCACCTTCTTCATGTGCTGGAACACCTCCAGCATGGCCTCCACAAGCTTCTTGATGTCCGTGGCAATGAGGATGGCGTTGATCGGGAAGTCCTTCATCAGCGTGTTGTAGTCCAGCACGGTGTCGTACATGGACAGGTTGGTGTCTGTCTCAAAGCTCTTGAGGATGGTCAGTCGCTTGGCCTCCCGCAGCACTGCCAGCGTCAGCGTCACGTCGTCCTCGGCCAGCCGCACCTTTAGCTGCGACAGTGCGCGCTCCATCGACAGCCAGAACCTGCGTGTGTGTGTGTGTGTGTGTGTGTGTGTGTGTGTGTGTGTGTGTGTGTGTGTGTGTGTGTGTGTGTGTGTGTGGAAGGGGGTTCGTGTGTAAATTGGTGAGCGTGTGTGGTGAGAACTGAGTGCGAAGAAACAGCATTGTGACAAACTCACAGATGAAGCCACAGCCTCAGAGATATGTGGCACACCCACACCACATAAATGCACACGCACACAGGTTGCGCACAGGTTACGCACATGCATGCACACATGCACCCACACGAAGACGGACACATGCACACTGCACCTGATTTCCTGGCGCGCGCTGCCTGTGGAGAGGTCGCGTTCGAGGCGGGTGACCTGCTGAATGTCCTTGATCCAGCGCAGCACCACCCGCTCAAGCGACTTGACGTACGCGTCGTCGTGCACCAAGTCCCCCATGTCAGCAAGCGTCGGGCTGCGACCGGCCTTTCGCGCCTGTTTGGGAAACACAGAGGAGGGATGGGCGGAGAAACGTGTATTGGTGCGTCCGTGAGGCAATTGCTCGACCGCGCAGTCATCATCACACGCACACACGCACACGCACGCACGCGCCGCACGTGCGCGCGCGCGAACATAATGCACCGACGCAGACACACACGCGAACGCACACACGCATACAGATCACGCAGCGCCATGCACCGCACCTCGGAGACCGCGGCGGCGATGGCCTTCTCAGGCACAATCTCAATCTGGGGAATGTCTGTATCCTGCTGCAGATGCGAGAGGAGTGTTTCCAGCTCGTTGATGGCCTTGCTCGCAGGCTTGATGCTCTCCTTGTCGGCAGCACCGGACCCTTTTGCCAGGCTGTTGAAGAATGGTTGTACGTATTGCTGCACCAGCGCATGCAGCATCCCAAACGGCTTGCCTGGCGGGTTGTGCGTGTATGTATGAGAGTGTGTGCATGAGTGTGTGTATTTGTGAACGTGTGTTCGTGTTTGGTCGTGTGTGTGTGTATTTGTGAACGTGTGTTCGTGTTTGGTCGTGTGTGTGTGTGTGTGTGTATTTGTGAACGTGTGTTCGTGTTTGGTCGTGTGTGTGTGTGTGTGCTTGTTTCTGTTTGTTTGTACTTGTTAAGACGACGTGTGTGAGGGATGCAGTCAGCATGGCCAAAGTCTCCAGTACATGCACAGGAATGGCGCTCGATCCTTGGTCATGTGCACCACAACTCACCGTCAGAGAAGACAACACAGTGCAGCTGCAGCGCCAGATCGTTGGGCGCGAGCGGGTCTTTGGGATTCTTCTTCACAAAGGCACATGCTGCGTAGCTTGCACCTAAGCTCTTGATCTGTGTGCGTGTGTGTGTGTGTGTGTGCGTGTGCGTGTGCGTGTGCGTGTGTGTATGTGTGTGAATACGTGAGCGAGTGTGGTTGTGTGTAAAGGCTGCCATGGGTCAGTGTCAACACCTGCGAACACAATACTTCAGCAAACCCACCTCATCCGTGATGATGATCTCTTGTTGGTCGTCTTGGTCACCTAGAGGTTCAATTGAGCCAGTGGATGCAAAATGTGAGCACAAGCGCAAACACACAACATACACACATATACACGCACGCGCACACAGACTGGGATGGGATCCAACCAAACACTGCTGCGTCAAACGCAAACAGCTGCCAAGAACGCACTTTTGCCTGTGTTTCGGTGGACCATGAGCGCTCGCTTGTTTGGATCGGCGGCAAAGCTACACAAGTGGAGAGAGTGCGTGTTTGTGCGCACGTGAGGGACAAGAGTAGGTGTGGAGTGCGAGAAGCGTGTGTGTGTGTGTGATGTGAAAGTGCAAGCGACCCAGCAAGACATGGCAAGAAGGGGGGGGGGGTTCACTTGTTTGTGCCGCACACCCAGACACAAAGCACACACACGCACGCACAACACAAACACCACATATGGCCATAATGAATGCACAGAGGTTTGCTGCAAAGGAGTTCACCTGGTGAGGAGTGGCTCTGCCTCTGCCAGCGTGTCAGCGAGGCTGGCTTCGCCGCCACCAAGTAGAAGTGGCACAACATCGCGAAGATAGTCCACAATCTCTTTGGTATCAATGACCTCGGCAACATGATCCGTGCCGTTCAGCTCCTCCGCACTCATCGCGCTGCTGCTGCTGCTGCTGCTGCGCCTGCGGAGTGCCGTCTCTCGTTCCCAACACGCTTCCTCTTCCTCCTCTACTTCTCCTCTTGTCTCTGAACTTCAGTCCACTCTACAGCAATGCACACAAAGAAGCAAGCAAGCAAGCAAGAAGCGAGCGAGCCTTCTCCGTCGTCGTTGCAGTGGCGGAGGAGAAGCGGCAAAAATAAACAATTCTCTATTTTATCGTGCCGTATGGAACGGGCCCAAACAAGGGGAAGGGAACAACAAGCGAACCATTAAGAGAACCTTCACAGAGGTCAGACAGTCATTTGTCGTTCCACTGCTTCATGCACAAGAAAGTCGAGGCACACTGCAGGCACTGAGGTGAGGCGGAAGCCAGAGAGGGTCATCCCTTCTTCCCTTCATCCGCACACACACACACACACGCCACATACCACCTGTGGTTTTCCTTCAAGCCTTCAGGGCGCGCACATGCGTGCACAGCTCGACCTCAAAGCAAAAGCTCAAAAGAAAGAAGCAAAGGACTCTAAGGACTGGAAGCAAGACAAGAAGCTTAGAGGAGACTGAAACTCCTCACAAACTGAGGCATGGCGACCAGCAGAAGCAAGATGACTAAGGCACAATCCAGACGAACCATCCAAGGCCGATGTAGAGTTGCCGTCAGCCCCAACAAGCAGGCTGTTTTGGTCCTGGCAGGTGTCCTGCTATTCTTGCTATTGCCCTTACTCTCGGCAGTTGCCACGCCTGCTACTCCAACTCCTGCCCAACCGCTTGGCGATGTCGACCTGACAGCGGATGCCCATGAACAAGCCTTGCACGAAGGCAGCACTAGCACTAGCACCAGCACCGAGAGCACCGACAACCACTTCCACAGCACCGACGACAACAGTGCAGCCATCTGCCACGACGCCCGAGTCGCCCTTGAGGTCGTCACGGAGGCAATTCTCTTGACCACAAGGAGCGAAGAGGAAACGCAGGAGGAGAATTCGCAGGAGGAGGTGGTTGCAGACCACAACGGCGACAAGCTCCCCATGCATGCGCACTTGCATGCGTTGCAGCGCGTCATCAACGCCCACTGCCAACAACAACAACACCAACAGCAGCAGCAAGATGAAAAACAACAACAACAGCAGCAGCAAGGAGGGCAAGGAGAAGACACCGACGACAACAGCAGCGCCATCCTCAAGGCTGTCGCACGAGCTGCTCTTCCGCTGCAACATGCCTCGCCTTTCCCTCTCCTTACCCAGCAGCATCAACGTCAACAACAGCAGCGGCGGCGGAGAGACGTTGTGGCAGAAGCAGAGCCCCCCACGGACTTTGTCTTTGACCGCTGCACCGCTTCAGCGATCATCAAAGGCAATTGCACGGTGCCCGCTTCTGAAGACACCATCGCTGGCGGCACGTTGACCATTGCATTCGATGCACCAAACGACGCCACAGCCCTGTTGGAGGAGATCGAACCCAGCTCGGAAGCTGCCACTGCCGCAGCTCAACTCTGCAACTCATTGCAGCCACGTGCCTTGGTTATCGCGGGCACCGTGCACAACACCGATTTGGAATGGGTACTGAGCCACACACAGTGCACAACAGTCCAGCGTGTGAATGTCACAGGCCTGCTTGGCCCAGACTTCTTCTTCAACACCTTCAACCCGCTGACGAGTATTCTAAAAATCGAGATCCGTGATAGCAGTTTTGTGCGCTTGGCTCAGAACAACCAGGATGCATCCCCCCATCAGACGTTTGCGCACGCTGGCCAGATCACGTCCATCCTCACCCACAACACCCTGGTGGGTGGCATAGACCAAGGCGCTTTTGCAGGCATGTCGCAGCTACGCTCACTCACCCTGCAGCGCGGGCGGCTGCGGGAGATCACAGCAGAACACTTTGCGGACTTGACCAATCTTCGCACGCTCACTCTGCGCCGCAACCTCATCACACGCATTGCGCCTAACGCCCTCAGCTCAACAACAGCTTTGGAAAGCCTGGACCTGAATCAGAATGGCTTCGGAGAGCTGCCCGCCACTTTGTTCGAGGCCCCAGTCAATCTCACCTCCATCAACATCGGGGTCAACTTCATTGAAACCCTCCCCGAAACCATCTTCTCGAACCTCGCCAAACTGAAGCACCTATCCATCAACAACTGCTTCCTCACCACGCTTCCGCCCACGCTGCTCCATGCCAACACCATGTTGCACCATATCCACTTGCGAGAAAACAAGTTGGAGGTTCTCCCGTCTGCCGTTTTCTCCAACCTTTCGGCATTGGAAGAGCTTGACCTGCGCCGCAACTATTTCACAGAGATTGACCTGTCTTGGTTTGCGGCCGAGATGCCAGCTCTGAAGTCGTTTGACTTGAGCCAGAACAACATCGAGGTACTGCCACAGAACTTGCTGGCAGCTTTCCCTGCCCTTCGAACGCTCCAGCTCCAATCAAACGCGCTGACGAATCTTCAACCAGGAATCATTTCTGAGCACTCCCAGCTTGTTTCCATTGACCTCAGCTACAATCAATTGGTCCAACTTCCACCTGATTCGTTTCGCAGCTTCCCAAACCTTGAAAGGCTCGCACTCTCCAACAATGCATTGGAGGTCTTTCCTCACAATGTGAGCCTGCCCCAGTTGAGAATTCTTCGACTTCTGAACAACCCCCTCAAAACAGCGGTTGATGTGCAAAGGCTTCAACGCTTGGAGGAGCTCCGTTTCAACGGGCACTTGTTGTCAAAAGTTGACATCACACCGTATTTGAACCTGCATCGACTCCACTCCCTATCGGTTCGACCAGCCACTTCTCTCGAGAGCACTCTCATTTTTCACGAAGGCAGGATCAACACCACGAACCTTTGCCGCCTGCGACACCTGAACATTCGGAACATGCACTTCTCTGGTTTCCTGAGATGGCTGGTTCAGCACCAGGTTCAACTTCGCAGCCTCTACGTCGGCGCCCCACATATGAATGCCATGACAGCCCCTGTTAGTGAAATATGCAGTGCGTTGGCATCAGACGTGGAAAGCCTCGCCATCATCAACACCGCTTACGAAGAACTACGTCTGTGTCCAAACACCTCCATCCAAGCCGTGTTTCTCGATCAAAATCACGCTTTGACGACCGTTGAGGTGGAGTCTCCGACTCGCACCTTAAACGTGTCATCCTGCCCAAACCTGGAGACAATTCACGTGCCAGTGGCCGAGGTGCTAGACATCAGTCGCACCAAGGTCCCTTTCCAACGCGGGTTCTGCCGCACACTCGGCACGCGCGTCCTGGTCGCACAGCAGTGGCAAGAGCGCGGCAAGCCCGACGTTCAGCGGCTCTCGCCATTGCTTCTGCAGTGCATTGTGTTTAGCGACGTTGAGGTTGTGGACCTGAGCGACAACGACTGGATCGACCAGCCGCACCTGCTCAATGCGCCACTCAACAGACCGGTGGCGTTTCGGAAAGACCAGCCAGACGCTGCATTGTTTGGGGTGGTGCATTTCCGGCAAGTTATCCCCAGCATTGAGCTGTTTCGATCCCCGGTGGAGTGTCGACTGCGTGTTACGACTCAACCTACGGGGGAATCACGCACCATCCACACAAGAGTATGGGACACAGTGTTCCTGTTTCGCTGTCAGTGCTCATCTGGTTATATCGCAAGAGGAGACAAGTGCATCAAGCAGACAGACAACCCCGTGCCGGTTGCGTTGGGCACTGTTGCCGGTGTCTTGGCGCTGCAAGGCGCACTGTTTGCGCTGTTCCGCTGGTATCGCCGGCACAAGCAGTTGCGCGCCGAGCACGCCCTCAACATGCAGCTGCTCTCCGAGAAGGACGCGGAGGTGCTGGCGCTCAAGGCCGTGTGGGACATTCCGTTTGAGGAGCTTGACCTGTACCGCGAGCTGGACAGTGGTGCGAGCGGCGACGTGTGGGAGGGCGAGTGGGACTCGGTGCATGTGGCGGTGAAGGTGCTGAAGCTGGGCAACGTGTTCCTGGACGCAGCGACGCAGCAGGAGTTTGAGAAGGAGGTGGCGTTCTTGCAGCGCACGCGGCATCCGCACCTGGTTCGCTTCTTTGGCGCTGGCACAAACCCGGTGACTGGCGCGCCGTTTCTGGTGCTCGAGTTTATGGCGCTCGGATCCCTGCGCCAGCTGCTGCAGCGCAACCTGCAACAGGTGTTGACAGAGACCAACAGCACCAGCGCTTCCACGACCGCAGAAACTGCTGCGCCGACAAGCGAGGACTTGGATGACTACACAGTCGTGTCAACAACCAGGCACTCGGTGCAGCCTGGTCTCTTGACTGTGTGGGCGCTGAAGCAGCGGCTCGCTGCGGACATTGCATCTGGCATGGCGTTTATCCACAGCCTCGGCAAACTCCACAGGTGACCTTGCGTGTTTTGTTTGGGGGGGGGGGGTTTGGGGTTGGTGAGTGTGTGATGCGTGTGTGATCTGTGCGTGTGCGTAAGTGTAATACGTGTGTGTTGTGTATGTGTGTTGTGTGTGCTTTTGTGCGTGCTTTTGTGTGCTTTTGTGTGTTGTGTATGTGTGTGAGTGTGCGTGCGTGACATGTGCGTGCGTGCGTGTGTGTGTTATGTTATTGCCTGCTTGCGCCCTCCTTTCCTTTCCACATGCCTTCACTCAATGCACACATTCTGCACACAACGTAATGCACGCATGCGCCCCATCGGACGCAGAGATCTGAAGAGCGGCAATGTGCTGGTGTCGGCGAACCTGCGGGCAAAGATCACGGACTTTGGAACCGTGACCCAGCGCCTGAGTTCACAGCAGGTGCATTCTGCGGGACCACACCGCAGCAGCGGAGGCGGCTGGTTTGGCCTTGGCTTTGGGCTGCCCGGCACCCACAATCACAGCAGCGACAGGAGAATGAGCAACAACAACAACGACAGCGACGACGACGACATAGGCAGCAGCGGCAACGACAAAGACAGTAATGGCAGTTCAAGCGTGCTGGCTGGGGCTGGGTTATCGTCGTTGACCACACCAGCGTCGTCGTCACGTGGTGGCGATTCAGAGGCAGCGCAGGCCAGGCTGCTTGCGGCGGCGGCTGATGGTGCTGCTGTGAATGACGATGTTGCGTACGACGAGGAGGTGGCTGGCATGACGATGAGCATGACCATGACAGCCGCTGTTGGCACGCCGCTGTACACTGCGCCAGAGGCGCTGACGGGGACAGCGTACGACACCAAGGCCGACGTGTTCAGCTTTGGGGTTGTGCTGTGGGAGATTGTGACGCAGCGGAAACCCGACTTGATCAAGCAAGAGTTTGGGGACGGGTTCTGCGGCCCGATGCTGTCCACCCTCGCATCCTTGCTTGCATCCGGCAAGCGGCTCCGCTTCCCTCCATCTTCAGGTGAGAAGAAAGGAGGGGGTGATAAGAGACGGGGGCGAAGAGGAGTTTGGGGTTGAGGGGTTGGGAGGGGGTTGGAGGGGGTGAGGGCGAGTTGTGGAAGTCGTGTGTGCTGTGTGTGTGTGTATGTGTGTGTGTGTGTGTATGCTGTTAGTACTGCGCTGTTATGATGCTCTTTTGTTTTTCTTTTTCAACACTCCCCTGCCAGCCTACCTGCCCACCGTCCTGCACCCCAGTGCATGCACAGCACAGCACGTCTTGTCCCCAGCTCCTCACAATACCAGCGCATCACAATGCCTACTGCCTTGGTTGTGCAGGCAATGAGGAAGCGGCGGAAGTGCTGTTGCGCAACCTGGCGCAAGAATGCATGGCACAGGAGGCCAGGGAGCGACCCACCTTCCAGCAGCTGAAGGAAAAGCTGCTCGCAGCTCTACCCGGCTCTTAAGCTGCGCCAGACAGCTAGACAGCCATTGCTTGAGCCAATTGCTCTGTGTGCGCAATGATGAGGGTTCATCCTGGATAAGATGCTTGAAGGTGTTTGTGTTTGTTGCTCGGTGTATTGAATTGTGTTTGTGGTTCCCTACTTGCCTGCTTGCCTACTTGCTTTGTGTTGTTGCATTTTTGTACAATGTTCAATTGCGCGATCTGTGTCATTTTCATTTCACGTGGTGTGATGTGATGACTTCACCCAGCAAACACAAAACACACGGTGATACAAACGCGGGCGTGTAGGCGCGCGGCATAAAACAAAACAATGAAACGCAATAACAACGCAGGCAAGCCAGCAGGCAGGCGATGAGGCAGACATGGAGCATGCAGACTATGAATGAAAAAAAAAAATGCACGAGAAGAAACGATCGCATGGGCAGTAGAGAAAGCATCAAGTTCAAGTTCCAGTGGGTGAAAGTAACAAACAGCACCACGCAGGCAAGATCGGACGCAGCAAAACAAGGCAGAAATCAAGTGCACAGTTGACAGCAACGCCAGCCACAGCAACGGGTCACAAGAAGGGGCTTGAGGGGTAGGGAGGGAAGCAAAAGTCGTGCTGGGGTGGTTGTGGTGGTCGTAGGTGTTATGAAAGGGTGAGGGAGGGGGACAAAGTAGGCTGCAGCACCAAAGAGGTGGACGGCAGTGGCAGTGTGATGGGCGAGAAGCAGAGCGCAGCAAAGTGACTCAGCGAGGCGTAAAGAAGAAAGAAGGAAGGGGTTGGGGTTGGCTAAGAACGACCAGGAACCCGAGCGGGGGGAGGGGTTGTTGCTGATTTGAATTGGCGGGCGTAAACCGGTCCATGTGCGTGAGTTCACAGGTGCAGCTGGCGCAGAATGTCCTCCAGTTTCTATCAAGAGATGACAAAGATGAGGATCATGGTGATGGTGACGGCGGTGAGGATGGCATCAGCAACAACGGCGGCAACAAAACCAAGATAATGGTTTACAGGACACACAATTCACACACACACACACATACACACACGCACACACACGCACCTTCTTGTATCGCCAGGTGTCACCCTTGATGCGCTTGGGTCTGACACCAACAACGTCTGCAAAGCCGTCAATGCGGCACACTTCAAAGTTAATGGTTATGTAGTGCTTGTCATCATCATCGAGGAACTTGGCACGGACGTGGAATCTGTGATGGGTGTGAGTGAAGTATGGGAGAAGCATGGGTGAGTTAGTGTGGATGAGTTGTGGTGGTGTGGTGGGTGGTGTGAGTACGTGCATGTTTGCGTGGGTTGGAGAAGTAATTGTGTAAACAAACGCTCATAAACACATACGTGCTCACGAACAAACAAGCACCCAAAACCACGACCCGCAGCCCAAATGCAAGCACAATAATGCGCAACACAGAGAGTGGAGGCCGCAATTCGTGACGCGATGTGTTCAGCTGCACGTGGACGCACCCTCTCTGCGTAAAGTCGCAGTGCTCGTCGGCGAGAACGCGGCAAATCTCCTCAAGAACGGCCTCCGGTGTCTTGGAGGATGTGCTGTCAGCGTTGAACAAGCCCTGTGGAGCGGAAGCGTGCTTACAGTGAGACGTCTGCCCGCAACGCAGAACACAAGCAAGGCACACAAAGACGGAAGAGCGATACATACAGCTGCACACACACACACACACACACACACACACACACACACACACACACACAGCGCAACAGACCTTCACAACGCGGGGCTCTGTCAAGTTCCTGCTTCCAAACACGTTGAAGAGGCTTCGGGCCAAGCTGCCGAGGCCAGCCTTCAGCGCAGACCCCTGTGACGCGACGGGCGGCGGCGATCGTGGTGGTGATAGCAGTGGTGATGAAGGGCGCACACGTGCGTGTTGCGAGTGAGATTATGGTCTCATGGAGCAGAGGAATGTGAAGGGAAGAAGCAATGCGGCATGGTTATGTCCCTAAGCTACGATGACACACACACACACACACAAAGCACACACACACACACACACACACACACACACACACACACACACACACACACACACACCCTTCTCTCTTGCTGCATGGGCGGGATGTGCGGTGCGCCCTCGCTCTGGCGCTTCTTCGCCGGCGAGAGGGACGGGTTGCTCGTGTGCCGCTTAAGCTCGTCGTCATCGTCATCATCAGACTGCGCCATGTGTTGCTGGAACGACACGGGAAAACACGCAGAGGTTGTGAGCAATTTGCACGTGTGTGTGTGTGTGTGTGTGTGTGTGTGTGAGTGTGTGTGTGTGTGTGTGTGTGCGCGTGCGTGCGTGTGTGGATGAGTGAGCTGTTGACATGAAAATATCCAACATGGCCACACTGCATCGTGCATGGACTGCGTCCCACCATGGAGCCGCCAAAGGCATCCGCGCGCTTTGGTGACGTCAGCAGCATGTTCTGCATGGGGAGTGAATACAAACGAGAAGAAATACACACATGCGAGTGCAGTTTTGTCAAGGTGAGCACAAGCAAACAAACACCTGGCCAATGGCAACACCAACGCCGCAACCAAGCAAAGCAAATGAAACTCATAGAATAAAACAGAACCGCACACACACACACACACACACACACACCTGCACGTTGCGGGTGTCGCTAGCGCCCACGGTTCTGCTGCGACCACGGCCGGGAGAGCGCGGGCTGCCGCTCGCCAGCATGTGCTGCGGTGCGAGCGAGTCCTTGGCCGGGCGACGCGGGTGTGGGCGCGGCGGTGACGACATGACGCGATCGGGGGCGGTGGCCATCCCCGCCGGCTCCACATCGTGCCGGACTTGGTCCTCCTCTTCCGGCGAGGATAGCTGGTACGGCCGTGGGAACGGTGGTGGTAGTGGTGGCGGTGGTGGTGAATACAGGCGGTGGTGTGTGTGAGAACAGTGGAATCATGTGTGCGGATGCAGCATGGCAGCGACAGGTGTCATTTCCCTTCAACAACACCAGCCGCACACACACACACACACACACACACACACACACACACACACACACACAGACACACATGATACGCATACGCACCGACTGGTGGTGCTTATCGACGTCCTCTGTGGTGATGGAGACGTTTGAAGTGTTGCGGGAGACGGAGGCGCTGGTGGCGAGAGGCGACGAACGCCCGTCCATCGATCGTCTGGGAACCACAAACACACACACACACATGCAAGAAAGAAGGTGGATGTGGTTGTTGGGATGAGCATTGAGGGAGAGAGCGACGCCACAGCGATGAAGCGCTGCTTCTCTCTCTTCTTTCTTTGTGTGTCTGTGTGTGTATCTGTACGCTTACCTTGTTTCCTTGAGCTTCAGGAGTACGATGGCCTTCTCTGCAGGAAGCGTGCCTTTGCCGCGCGGCAACCTGTCACAGACGCACATGCACACAATGTTTGCGCGAATGAGCACACAAAGCAGTGACAACAGCACAAGACGAGGGAAGGGGGTGGAGACGCAGGCATGGGAAAGGGCATGAGCAATGAGTGAGGGGGGGGGGGAGGGCCTGTGTGCTTTTATGTGCGCACGTGTGTGTGTGTGTGTGTTCACGTGGACTTACTTGATTGGCTTGTTGTCCTGAAATCTCTGCTTGACCAGCTCGTAGTTTGCTGTGATGACGCCGTACCCGTACTGAAACGAGAGGAGAACAAGGAGGATGTCGAGAGGGGGGAAGGTCGAGCAAGGGGAAGGTGGGTGAGGGGATGTGTAGCGCAGGCAGGCGTGAGCGTGCGTGCATGTGTGCGTGTGTAAGGGTGAGTATGAAACAAACAGCCATACGCCCCCCCCCCACACCACTGCACATGTCGATCATGCAATCGCAGGTCCACACCTCCTTGATCCACTGCTCCATGAGGGTCATGCTGGTGCCATAGTACCGCGCCAGCTCCTGAACGCTCTCCGAGTGCAACACGCCGCCATGCTGTTGGTGGTGATGGGGGTGGTGGTGGTGATGATGGTGTGAGGGAATGGAGGTGCGAGCACTCTCGGTTGATCAAAGCAGAACAGCAACCCATATCCCGCAAGAGCATTTCGCCAACGATACAATAAACACAGCAATGCAGCAGCACAGCGAGTCTAAGTGTGTTCTCACTTCTTCAATGGTGGAAGATGGGTCGATGCGAGGGACGTCAAGGCCTGGCAACGAGACAAACACAACCACGTGTGAGGCGGGAAGAGCCGAGAAAAGGGGCAAAGGAGTAAATAAGAAGTAGCAAGGAGGAAATGCAAGAGGTGCGCTCGCAGCCAGCAATGCACACACACACACACACACACACACACACACACACACACACACACACACACACACAAGGTGCAAGCGCACGCACCCTTGAGCATCCAGGGGTGGGAGAGAATGCCGTCGAGACTGATGCGGTGCTCCGGCCGGTGCTGCACGCACACGCAGAGCACAATGGGCGGATGGGGACACACGAGGGAATGGGGTGAGGTGCAGGGAAAAGCAAGTTCAGTAGCAGAACACACACACACACACACACACACACACACACACACACACACACACACACACACAAATATCTTTCTCTCACACACGCACGCACACCTGTACGCACCCTGAGCATGCAGGCAATAAAATCCTCGCTCTCCTTTGAGAGCCACGGGGGGATCTCGTATGTGCCACGCTGGATCAGCTTGTACAGGCGCTGCGTGTTGTCGTCGTCAAAAGGGAGGAACCCGCACAAGAGCGCATACAGCAGGATGCCCAGACTCCATACGTCCGCCTGATGTCCGCAGTGAACGAGGTATTGGGGGGAGGGGGAAGAGAAGTTGATGTGTGAGCGCAGCAGCGCGGCAGGCATCAGACATGCAACGGCAGGAACATAAGGAGGAAGGCAAGAAAGCACACACACACACGCGCACACAAAAACAAGCAGAGCACAGCACAAAGTACACACAAACACACACAAAGTACCCGCGCGCATTCAGGGAACACACGCACACACACGCACGCACGCACAAAGTATACGCGTGCACACAACACCAACGAAAGGGTACTTACAGGAGCGCCGTGGTATTTCTCGCCGCGAATGAGTTCTGGGGCGGCGTAGGCAGCGGATCCGCAGCAGGTGGACAACATGTCCTCCTGGATGCTCGACGTCTTCGCAATTAGCCCAAAGTCAATCAGTTTGATGTTCTGCAACAGAGAGGGGGGGAGGGTTGGTAGTGTGACGAAGGATGTGTGTGTGTGTGTGTGTGTGTGTGTGTGTGTGTGTGTGTGTGTGTGTGTGTGTGTGTGTGTGTGTGTGTGTGTGTGTGTGTGTGTGTGTGTTGTGTGTGTGTGTGTGTGTGTGTACGTGCGAGGGAGGGGGGTGAGGCGAGGCGATAGGATGCGAAACAGAGCGAACACACGTTATGATGTGATGAGTGCTTGCGCATATGCGTATGCGTGTCTATATGTTGCGTGGTTATGTGTGCCATGAGAGCGAGATGCAGTTGGCACCCTCTGATTTGTGCGTGGCGTTTGCGAGGCAGCTCACCCTGTCTGCGTCGAGGAGGAGGTTTTCGGGCTTGAGGTCCCGATGCACATATCCTTTGCCGTGCATGTAGTGGACGGCGGACACAATCTGGCGGAAGAACTTGCGCGCCTCCTGCTCCTTACAGCGCGAGCGCGCGACAATGTAGTCGAACAGTTCCCCACCGGGCGCGTACTCCAACACAAGAAAGTAGCGGTCCTCCGTCTCGATGACCTGGTACAGGCGGCAGATGTTCTGGTGCTTGAGATCCTTGAGCGCCTCAATCTCAAGTGCAACCCGCTTCAGGTCGTTCTGCGCAAGGTGTGAACGTTGTGTGTGTGTGTGTGTGTGTGTGTGTGTGTGTGTGTGCTGGAGAATGTGAGGATTTGAGAGGATAACGTCTTCGCTTGCTTGCATGCAAGCAAGAGCGCAAGAGCACCTTCCAATCACACCGAAACCACAACCTCCCCCCCCCCTCTCCAACAACACACAGAAAATATCACAATACCGCTCCCACAAAACGTCTCACGCAAGCACCTATACACGCACCGTTTGTCTGAGTTTTTCCTTGAGCATGATCTTGATGGCGACCTTGGTGTGTGTCAGCTTGTGCCGGGCAATCTTCACCTTGGCAAAGCCGCCCGTACCAATCGTGTCCTTCACCTCTGCAAACGTCGACATCATTGCCATCATCATCATGCGTATGTGTGTGTGTGTGTGTCGTTGTGGGTTGGTGCGGGCGTGTGATGCACAAGTGGTTATAGAAAATGAACAGCAACAGCAGAGTGAGCGAGTGAGCGAGGGAGCGAGCGCGTGTGTGATGAAGCAAGGAGAGGCGTGTTGGCAAGCTTGCATGAGCGTGTACAGGCGTGTACGAGCGTGTGTAAACATCACCGTTTGGTGGGGTGATCAGTCAAACCAACCAACCACCACCACCACCACAACCACAACAACAACAACACCACCACCACGTTGGCAGTGCAATGTTTGGGACTGGTTCAAGCGTGTCTGAGCGTGCCAAATCCACACCAACACTCATGCATACGAGCAAGTGCCATCAAACCAACGCATTCTTCCTCGCCCCCAATCCCCATCCCCATGAACACACACACCCACACACCCACACACACACACACACACACACACACACACACACACACACACACACACACACACACTCGCACGCACGCAACGCACCATAGTGGTCTGTGATCTCTGGTGGGTACTTGTGTCGCCCCGAAGGGCTGTGGCTGAAGCCGGTTTGCATGGACGCGGCCGGGGACGAGTATGCACACGTGCGCGTTGCCATCGATGTCGACAACGAATCAAGTCCTTGGATCGTCGCTGATGCTGACGCTTACGCGGTGCGTGCGTGCGTGCTTCTGCCTCTTTGTTGTTGTTCTGGCTGGTTGGTGGTCGGGAGGGGACAAGCCACCCGGCTGGTGTCTGAAAAGTGAAAGTGGTGGTCGGGAAGCGGTGTGATGATGGTGTGATGATGGTATGTATGATTTGGTGATGGATGAACCAACGGTGTTGGTTGGTGTGCGTAACCACCACAGCAGAGGAAGAAGGCAGAGGGGACAGGGTGAGACTAGAATGGTGATGAGCGAGCAAGATTGAAGAGCCAGACCCTTGTTCACAGCGGAACAATGATGATGGTGTCTCGGTCACTCACGCGCAGCTGTACCCACACGCGCACACACGTCAAGTTGCCCACGACCACCAGCAGGGAAAAGAACAAGAGGAGAGGAAACAAAGACCGTTTGTGGAGTGTTGGCAGCTACGCGTGAAGAGAGTGAATGGACACCCGTCCTTTCTCTCAACTCACGACTCACCACCACCACCACCACCAAACGCTCGCACACACAGAGCGGGCACGAGCCGTGAGCCACGCACACCCACACACGACGGATTGGGGGGGGGGGGTACACACACCTTGTAGCTGCTTGGTGTTCGTCGATTTGAAGCCAACGCGAAAGCGGGAGACAAAGGGGAACTGGTAGCAACCAGCGATCAATGTACTGTGGCTGAGAATAGAAACAACCACAAACAGAGCCACACAGACGCAACGGAGATGGGTTGGTGATGTGCAGAACAACAACAACAACACACAAACGGGGGTGCGAAACACACGTTTGGACGGCGGGTGTGTGAGTGAGTGTTGATGATCAATGATGGTGATGGATGATGGTGGTGGTGATGGTGCAGGCGAAGGTGCGTGCGTGTGTGCAAGTGTGTGCATGTGTGCATGTGTGTAGATGTGTATGTGTGTATGTGTGTGTGTGTGTGATACAAGCAGACAGGCACGCCCCCGAGCAGTTGTGTGATCAGTCTTCATCAAAGCCAATTCAAATGTGATGGCAGGTGCAAGAGGCAACCGAACACACGCACAACACACGCACGCACAACGCATGCATGCAACAGAAAGCGAAGGAGAGAGGGAAAGAAATAGAGGGAAGGAGACGCCGAAACCCGTGACAGAGCACGATAGGTTCTCAGGCGCAGGTGTTTAGGAGCACACGCACGAGCCATGCAAGGAAGGTGTGTGGAAGAGTGATCACACATCTCAGCACACACTTCATCACACAACACACTCACCAAATCAAATCAAACGCAAGGTGTGACTGAGGGACTTCTGCAGTGCCAAAAATGATGCAAACAAGGAAACAGAAGTGCGGATGCATGTGTGAGGGGCTGGGTGTGGGCGTGTTGGATGCATGTTCTGAGAGAGAGAGTGTGTGTGTGGGTGTATGGTGTTTGCATTGCCTGGTGTGTGGCACGCACCTTTGCGGGGTTGGTTGGTTGGTTGGTTGGTTCTCCAAGGGGAGCTTGGCCTACTGGTCAAGGTTTGTGCAGGTCGGGCGGGGAAAACACGGATGAGAGGAAGTGGGGGGGAGGGGGGGGGAGAAAAGGCTGGAAAGTTCGTGCGTGTGAAGCCGAGGGTGGGTGTGCGTGCGTGTGGGTGCGTGAAAGGTGATGATGATCACCACTGTGGTGCGTGCGTGGCGCGTGAGTGTGCGAGAGGCTGTGTGTGGACTTGGGGTTGCTTCTGCTGGCTGGTTCAGCTTTGTTCATGCAAGTGATTGGGTGCGCAGGTGTGGGGTAGGTGTGACGTGTCGCTGGTTCGTTCGCCGGTTGGATGGACGAATTGTTCGTTCGTTCGTGTGTACCTTGGCTTGGTGGCTGGCTTGCTGCCTTCTTTGTTTGTTTGCTTGCTTGCTTGCTTGCTGCTACTTGTTGATGCAATCGTTCGTTCGTGCGCAGGTGTGCGAGGATGAGAATCAGAGGAGTGGTTCGTCTTGGGGGGTGATGACGATGTTGCGTTGTGTGCATGTGTGTGTGCAATCCATTCAAACGATGCGTTGCGTTGTTGTTGTCGTGGCTGCTTACTTGCTGTGCGTGTTGTGTTTGTGCGTTGCGTTTGCGTGTTGCGTTTGCGTGTTGTGTTTGCGTGTTGTGTTTGCGTGCGGTTGCTTGCTTGCTTGCGGTTGTGTGCTGTTGATGGAGCAATCCAAGACCAACAACGACCCACCGAATTTCCGCCCCCCCAAAAATAACTGACGCAGATTATTCGTTAAAGATTTATAACAAACATCGTCATGGAAGGACCGCCGTGCGAAGCGTCAAGGCAGGGCTCACAAGTCGGCTTTGCTGTGTTGGTGTTGGTGTTGTTGTTGGTGTTGTGTTTTGTGGGAGTCTGAGTGGAGGGTGGATTTGACATCAAAGGCGACGCGGTGCTTGTTGTTCTTGTCCATGGACATGTGAATGGCCGTCGGCTTTACCAAACGGTTGTTGTAATCCTGCGTGTGGTTGTGTTTGTTGTGTGTATTTATTTGTGTGGTTGTGTTTGGTTGTGTGTGTGTGTGGTTGTTTGTGGGGTTGGTTGTTTAGTTGTTTGTGAGTCATGGACAAAGAGCAAAGGGGCGAGGAAGGATGACAGGAGCGATGAGAGGACCGCGGGGCGCAGTGGCGATCATGACGACAGCAAAATAACAAGGGAAAGGGAGGACAACATGTGTGTGTATCTGCACTTCTTGCCGCCCGTTCCCCAGGCCCCACAACGGCACAGAAGAAGATTGAACAAACAACACAGACAAGCACAACCTCACCCCCCTGCCTTCCATTGTTTCGAGCACCAACCTCAATTAGGTCTTGCAAGGGTCCCTTGACCTCTGTCAACAACGTTGGCTCATCAATCCTCGCAAGCCCATGCTGGGATGGACACCATCAAGAAGAAGTTGGGCGGGGGGGGGGAGACGGGATTGTGAGTGTGTGTAAAATTGTTGGACAAGCATCTGCCAGCCATTCACGCACAAAACCGTACACACATGAACACAATCTTACACATACTCATACACACACACACTTTCTCTACACACGAACACATACACACACACAAACACAGGCACATACACACACAAACACAGACAGACATACATACATACATACATACATACATACATACATACATACATACATACATACATACATACATACATACATACATACATACATACATATATACGCACACGCACACGCACACACGAACACTCACGCATACACACACACACATACATACGCACACGCACACACACATGACCTGCACCTCTGTAAATCCGTTGGCATCAAAGCCAATTTCGCCAATGAGAAAGGACATCACGTCGTCGTCGTGCGTCAGATCAACGCGGAACTGGCACGCGTACTCCTGCACAAGAAGGATAACACACGTGCGCGCATTTGAGGGGCGAGTAAAGCAGGATGTCGAAGCGGGAGTGCTTGTTGTCGTGCAAACTGAAATATCAGCGACCATGGACGCGTCATGTCGCACGCAAGAACACACGCACACCACCTTGAATCTGCTGACGATAAACTCCCGCACTTCGACCCTTGTCATCGGCAGAAACGGCGCATAGAGATGAACCACGCCCTGGGTGCAATCGAACAAGAAGAAGAAGAAGAAGAAGAAGAAGAAGAAGAAGAACAAGAACAAGAAGAAGAACAAGAAGAAGAACAAGAAGAAGAACAAGAAGAAGAACAAGAAGAAGAACAAGAAGAACAAGAAGGTGATGGAAGCACGTGAGATTGGTGTGAAAGGAGCCACTTGCGTGCGCGAGTTCACACTCACGTGCGCATACACAAGAATTCTGACACGCACATCCACAAACAACCGCTGCTGGCACTCGTACAATTCCTGCTCCACTCACACACACACACACACACACACACACACACACACACACACACACACACACACACACACACACACACACACACACACACACACACACACACACACACACACACACACACACAAACCACAGCACCGGCACCTTGTGTGCGAGCCAGGGGTTTGCCTCTGTGATGATGGCCTGCAGCAGCGGCTCAAAGTCGCGGTGGCGCAGATCCTGGCGGTCGCGATGACGCAGCAGCCGCGCCGTCTGAGGAGATGTGTGTGTGTGTGTGTGCGTGTATGTGTGTGTGTGTGTGTTTGTTTGAGAGGAGGAAAAGTGTGACGGATGAAATCTTTCGGGAAGTACAATCGCAACGTGACACACACACACATTCACACACATTCACACACATTCTCACAAACATTCACACACATTCACACACATTCTCACAAACATTCACACACACAGCACACACACACACACATATTCACACACACACACACACACCTCGGAGCGCATGACGGTGTGGCCCTCGTTTGTGGTGAAGATGAACATGGCCTGGCGCGCGTCAATGGCTGCATCATCCACAAATACGGGCTGTTGCGAATCTAAAAACATGTGGATGGACGTCACCACGTCCTCCGGCATCAATTGCACCTGTGGTGTTGGCAATGATGTGGTGGTGACATGCCAGTAACAGCAGCAGTAGCAGCAGCAGTAGCACCGGCGTGAGATGGAACGACAACTGCAAATGGGTGGCCGGAAACACAGGAACAGTACACGACACACAGCCGTGCAATCACGCAACATCACACACTCAGACACACACACACACACACAACCACACTCATACTACAACACGCGACTGCGGCGTGACCTCATCAATGACGATGATGGAGCGAGGGCACTTGAGGAGCTGGCGCGCAATGGAGCGCTGCACAGAGAGCGTTGGTTGGTCGCGCTGCGTAAACGCTGCGCCAGGCAGGAAGTACAGCGCGTTTGTGATGTCGCCCAGCACGGCCTGCGAAAACACAAGCTCATACAGCTTGGACTCCAAGAACTGCAAAACGCAATGACAATGGCAGTGGCAAGGCACGTGAACGCGTGCGCCATGACACAGCAAACGGCGTATGGTGACATAGCCAACCAACTGCAAACCAACTGCGGAGAAGGACTGCCACCCTTGTGTGTGTGTGTGTGTGTGTGTGTGTGTGTGTGTGTGTGTGTGTGCATGTATTC